CACGTGATGTTATGATGTGGAATACCGAAAACCAAAAATCACAAAACCGTGACAAAGTTTCATATAATGCCTGATCTTTAACACAACATGTAAATGTTTTCAGACTTGTCCCACTCAGCAGAAATAGTTTGTGGATTGCAGGACCCTACAAGGCAGAATGGGGCAGTGTGCTTGTGCTTTTGAGTCCTTTTGGACTTTACATCTCTCCATGGATGTTTTTCATTACAGAGAAGTGCAGAGAATAATAGGTTGCTGAGACTCCTATCCAGCCTGGCTATGAATGCTTCCAGGGAGGGAGCATTCACAAGCAATCTACGCAACCTGCTAGAGTGTCTCACCACCCACACAGAAAAGAATTTCTTCCTAATATCAAGTCTAAATCTACCTTCTTCCAGTTTAAAACCGTTTTCCCTCATCTTGTTGCTACCTGCCATTATAAAATCTCCCTCCCCAGCTTTCCTGTAGGTTCCCTTCAGGTACTGGAAGGCCACAATAATGTCTCCCTGAAGCCTTCTCTTCTCCAGGCTGATGAGCCCCAGCACTCTAAGCCTGTCATCATAGGGAAGGTGTTTTACCCTCTGATCATCTTCATGGCCTCCCTCTGGACCTTACATTCTCAGGTAAAGCATTGTCAAAGATTAGGTCTTCTTTAATCATAAGCTTCACAGGCTGTTAAAATTTCGCTCTTTTTCTCTGAATTATTTTTTCCTCCTTTTTGTTTTTTATTTTTTAATTGAAAGTCCAAGCTCTGTTTTCCATTCAAGTCTACTAGGTACCAAGAAAGTCTTGAAGAAATAATATTTTATCTCACAGATGCAACTTACTGTGATTTTTTCAGAGATCATTTATATGTTTCACTAGTACATTTTATATAAAGTTTTTATCTACCATATACAAGAAATGTCATCAATGTTGATCTCTGCAGACATGCAACTGCACAATATTCTGAAAATATGTTTAATGATGGCTATTCATATGGCAGTTCATTATGGTTAACTGCTGTTTTTTAAGTGTGCAGATCTTTCTTTCAGTCCAAAGTGATCCAACTTTACCATCTGAACAGCTGATTACTCCAGAAGTTCATTCTAGGTAGAGGATCTCTGTCACTAAGGATGCCTCATAACCATGAGAAGTAGCTGAACCTAGAGCTGACTGTGTAGTCTCCCAAGGGTAGCACTGAGAGATCTCAAAATTTGTAATACATTTTTCATGTACATTTGGTCACAATTAAAACTGAATTTCTGACATTTGTCTTTCCCTTCATGAGACAATCTTTCCACCTCCTGGATTTGCTTTATGGGTCATGATGGTTCTTTGCATTGGCAACAGTGTGAGCTAAACAAACACTCATTTCTTGTATCTCTTCCGATTGGGAATTTCTACTGTAGAGTTGGCTATTTTCCTTCTGCATCAATAGCATCCATATGTTGACTTTTCTTCTGCTCTATTTAATATTTCTGTATTCTGGGATCTTTTCCAATTTTCTATGTAAGACATGGCCTTCTTTAGTCTGCTTCTGTGACTAACACTGTTAAAAAAAACACAGAAATTTTGAAAAAGGGCACTGAAGACCTTGTATGGAAAAAAAAATAAAAATCTGTAGAATAAAAGTATAGCATAGAAAAATCGCAAAATTGAACACAGCTGAAAGGAAAGGGCAGAAAGGAAAACAACTTAGAATCAATGAGAAACAAACATGCAAAATACCATTGCTCTATAGGTTTCTGGACCATTGATTTGTTGGGCCATTGCAATTGCTTGTGTTCTCAGCTTATGTAACAAAACATCAAGTAGCTTCAATGAAATTGAGCATTTTCACATTTGTTTGTTTTGTTGGTTTTTAACTTATTTATTTATTTATGTGTTTGTTTGTTTGTTTGGATAAACACATACTAAAAGGGGAATAAAACAGGATTACTGTTCACAGAACCACAGAATCAGGGAATGAGTGAGGTTGGATGGCACCACTTGGAATCATTTAGTCCAACTTCTCTGCTTCAAGCAGGGTCACCTAGAACACACTGACCAGGATCACATCCAGGCAGGTTTTGAGCATCTCCAGAGAAGGAGACTACAACTACAACTACAACTACAAACTCTCTGGGCAGCCTGTCCCATACTCAGTCACCCTCACAGTGAAGAAGTTTTTTTCTCATGTGCAGATGGAACTTCCTGTGTTGTAGTTTGAGCCTGTTGCCTCTTGTCCTGCCACACAGTCAAGTAGTAAGCTGTAATAGAAATATGAAAATAAAACAAGAAATTGTGGAATTTTTCACTGAAGTTACATTGTCAAGGAAACAACATAACAACTCTAGTAATTCACATTGTGGGCTACAGTTTGGGAAGAAATCTTTAGCAGGTGGTGATCACATCTTCAGAAAAAACATCTGCATAACTCCCTGAATTGGTTAAGTGACATGTGTATTATATCTGAAGCTTCCAGGATATGATAGACCTGTGATATGGATCAGATGCACATACGCAGTACATTAGACATGGTTTATGTTTGACCAATTTTAACAATTGCAGTGTTGGTTAATGTTGGCAAGTGTGAATGGAGTAGTCAGGCTGAAAATAAATTTGGTATGTAGGGTACGCCAAGAATACAAGGTCTTCTCCAAAAGTAATACCTGCTATTTTATTATGTTGGCCCATGACAGCAGAAGAGGATGTTGGTGGTATGGCACTAGAAGTAGAACCTTTCCACCAGTATTACATTATATTTTGTTGCTATACAACAGGCTGCAGCAGAGGGGCAGTCTGATCAAATGGGAAGAAAAAAGTAAATTCCATGTGGAAAAACTTGCACCCACTGACATTCGTCAAAAATTACTGAATGTTTATTGAGTCTAAACAGTGAATGTGAGCACAGTGAGTTGATGGGTGGTGCATTTCAGCAGTGGAGACAGAGACATGAAAGACAAATTGCATTGTCTTTCATGCAGAGCCATGCAGATTTTTACAATCATGGCATGCAGTCTCTTGTTCATCTCTGGTGAAAATGCATAGTGAGTGGTGGTCACTATGTTAAAAAGTTATGTATGGTAGCTGAGAATTTGCTCTATCAGTGTTACTGTGCCCTTTGTATCACTTGTAGTTTCTGTGGAAATAAATAGGAAACATTACTTTTGGAGCAACCTACACATATATTTTTTTCAGATATATTAAAAATGAATTATTTTCTTCCAAAGCCATCTAATCCGAAACAAAACTTCCTTCTGTTATTTTTTTCCATGTGAAAGAATTTCCTTTTTAAAAAATATATATATATTTGATAGCGTTTGGGATTTGGTTGACCCTCAAAATGTAGTTGGAAAATTCTAGTTTGTTTTCCTATTAGAAAAGAAATAAGAATGCAAATGAAACTTTCAATATCATAAAAAGCTCTATATGAAAATAAATTAAAACTTCTTATAACATTATCCAGGATTCAGAACTGATTTCCACATATTTTAATGTTTGGGGTGCAGGGATTGCTATTTTCTTTTTTTTCTTTCAACATTTGATTTAAAATCTGTTGCTGAATTAAAGGTTCTTTTTTTAATATATACAAGAATAATTAGATGCACCATGAAGCAGCTTAAACTAATTGAAGTGGCCACAAAAACTGTCAATGCAAATGGAGCCATCTGGATGAACAGATAAAAGCTCTGGAGACATTGAAAAGACAGGTGGCATTCAGTTTCTTTCCTTCTCTTCTTCACAGTATGCTTGGAAACCAGGAGAAAGAAAAGTAAAACTCTTCAGGACACTAACACAAAATTTAATTTCAACAAGCCTACAGTATTGGGCAAAATTAAGCACCATGTGGTAATGAAAAAGTAGTAAGAACCTAAACTAACAGAGTAGCAGTGTACAAAATAGAATCAGGCCAAACTGTAAGCTAAATCCTTATAGAGCGTTGATCTTTTTTTAGGGACACTTAAGTTTCAAATTAGACATATGTTCTATCAAAGACTGGATAAATTCCATGTGTTAATTTTCAACATATATTTTTCTATTCTGCATCTGTGAGATTTATGTGTACTTAAAAGTACTGAAAAATCAGAATGCACTGTTTTTATAGCCTTTTTCCGAAATAACTATACAACTCCCTCTTCTTTTATGCATTATATATCATGCCTTCATGCCTAT